GGAGGGGGGGTGGGGGGGATTTGGGGATAGGACTGGGTCCCAGGGACGGGGGGTGTGTGCAGGACGCGGTGTGTGTCCCCATCGCACTCACAAGCGCCGCAGCAGTTCGGGGGGGTACTGGTTTTGGGGGTTACGGGTGTCACCCCCCTCCCGGCCACGCTGCTCCAGCAGCAGCCGGTGCTCGATGTAGACGTCCAGCACGTCCTTGCGGGTCACCTGCAGGGTGGAGACGCAAGTTATTTAGCTTAAATTAGCTTTAATTAGGATAAATTGCTCGGGGTTACGATACGGTGTCAATACTCTGATTCTGTAACACAACCGCATTTCCTGTGGGTAAAAAGGGCACCTCTTACCCAGACAGAGAAATACCGAGCCTGGGTATTATTTAGCAGAAATTAAGCATAGTCCTAAAAATATTTCCATTAATATCGAAGCGAAAAGCGCTACAGGTTTAAGCGAACACTAAATATCTTAATCCGTACAGCTGAACGCTGGGGAAAAAACCCTCATCGCTGTATATGCTGCGACGGCTTTGAAAAACAGTTTTAGTGGGTTTTTCTCGGACCGTTAGCGCAGATGGGAAATTAAAATCATACACCAGTGGGTCTGTCGGAACCTATATGGATGGGAAAACTGCAAAACCTATAACAACAATAATAACAGCAAAAAGTCTGGGTTGAGTCATTCCCTCATAGGAAAAGGGCCCTCGTGGAACGCAACTTTGGGGCATCACGTGCGCGTTCCGGGTCCAACGGGGTTTACGGGATCAATGCTACCGAGGGGGACACGGTGATAACCGCACGGAAATGACAAATAGGATTTGCTGCCGCCTTCACGCCACAGCGGTGAGTTTTCCCCCGTGGGCAGCACGGCGCTGCGCCCCGTCTCTGAGCACCACACTAACACTGCGCGGATGGGGTTTTTTGGGAGCATTTTCCCCTCAGCCTGGGACTTTTCGGGTCCCCGCACTCTGCCGGAAGCATAAAGCGGAGGAAAGAAGGGTGAGACCCCCGCCCTTCCCCCCACTGCGGTGACAGGGAATCGGTGGGACTGGAGCAGAGGGGGGGTCTGAGATAGTGTGTGGAGACCCCCCCAGACCAGAAACTGGGCTCAAACTGGGGTGAGGGGCTGAGACAGGGTGGGATTTCTGCCTGAGGTCCCTCTGTGGGGGGACCCACCTGCAGCACCCCGCACTTAAATCACTTATTTTTATAAAATAACTC